AAATCGACTTGTTATAATTGAAATATAATAAACTGAAAATAACAAAGGATATCTAGATTACCCAATGATCGTTTCTTAACGTGATGGGAGGGCATAGGGGCAAAAGTTTCGTTTTTGATATATCAGGAGTTCCGCTTTTGATAGATCGGCAAGTACCCTAAATTTAGGTCCCGTTTTTGATGAAGTCACGTTTTCACTGGTACCCAGCATTTTTTGATAGTCATCTGTTCAATAAACTATCTTTTTGCCTAATTTGTTTAATTTCGTACAATATTATTTTGACACTATACAAGACGGTAAAATTTTGTAGAATTTGACTTTTCGTATTACGAATTAGTGATTATATAATACAACATAGTGATAGTTTTCGTACGCGTCTTTGAAAACTTTCGTTCGATTGAAGTTAAATTTTGACTTTACTTCATCGAGACTTCATATTCAATACCGATTCAAATCCACATATCTGGCAGAAACTGCCATATTCTGCAGAGAAGATTGGCGGGTGGTTGCCGCTTGACTGCACGTCCTTCATTGGTCCGTGATTCTGATGATACTGTTTACTCATTCCTTTGTTAATATTATATCAAAGTAGGCTTCTTGAATCGAGATTTGCGCGCAACACGAGTCATGCGCGAAATCAATTTTCGTCATCAATCATCAGACGGAGTACAAATACGAGTTGTAGTTGATAGCCGAACAGCATCTTCAGCAAGACGTTGCAATTAGATCATAACAAAAATCTGTATTAAATTATAAATTGGTATTTCGTTTATTCCCTAGTAAAGATACGTGCGTCGCTGGCAAAGTGTAAACCGGCAAATAGGATTGATACTTGCCAATCAATTCTATTTAGCACTTTTGCATCAGGATTAATATTTAGCGCTAGTGTAGAGACATAATTTCCCCGACTGATCAGAGAAATCGACGTAATTAAGCAATAATTTAGGAACAGCGTATACAAGACCGATATATACAGATTGTGAATATAAAACCTAGTTAAAGGTCACTAATTGTCAGTAACTTGGTTTCTGGATTATCCTGCTTAGTAAAATACGACAAACTCAAATCGATAATGCAAAGACCGCTTTTTGTTTAGCTTTATTTGTGACTATTTTGGAAGATATTTCTCTTTTCTTATAAAAAGAAGGCTTTGTTTTTATAGAGCATGTGTAACGTAGGTATTATACAGTATTTATGGTTATAAACGTAGCTTGCCTCTTTCAAAAATTTATACTCATTTATAAAGCGCAAAAAACGCTTCTTCGTTGAGAAATCGAATTTGAATCTAAGAAACAGTTATCGGTTGCAACATGAGGACAGGAATTTGTTATGTATTGATATTAAAATAAATCAATTTACGGTCTCTAATTCACGGCTCTATTCAATGGTTTATCTGGATGCTTAGTAAGACTCTGAAATAGAAATTGGTGAATGATGTTAAATAGTCTGAATTTCGATTAAAATCGGACCCAGAAAGAGTTGCTCTTCCAACCGTCGCAGAGCGTGAACATAATTCTCTTGTGGGCATTCCATTTCATCTTACTAAGGTGTGATTACTAGTTTTTACTACGGGTAAGTACCGATTTTTTGCGCGTTCAAACTTGGGGAATTTGAGTTGCCCAACAATCTGAGACCAGGCTTCTTTGGTTCCTTTGGACTGGAGTTCATAGCTACAAGCCAGATCTAATATTTTCGTGAGCTAAAAATAAACAAAGGAACTATTGCAGATGTATTCGCATTAATATTAAATAATTCGATGTAATATCAATAAACATCCAATCATGTTTCGAGAATGTGACATAAAAATCGAAAAAGCAAAAAATTTTGTTCCCTCCTCTTTTCGCACATCCCTTTGGTAGAATATGGTATGCTGATTTGTTGAACGAATTATTATAGGCTCGCAGTAGCCAAGCAAAGATCATATATCTAATCTATTTATTAATATCAATTACTTCAATAGACAAAGGGCACTTCAAGCTTTGGCAAACGCCATACAAAGACCCACACTCTGTGCCGTCGTTGTGGAAGGCGTGCATTCCATAACCAAAAGAAAACATGTGCTCAGTGCGGGTATCCATCGGCCAAGACAAGAAGTTGTAAGTTATTGCGGGGAAACGATTTACAGTACAAGCATATCACTGACGGATATCTGCGAGTCCAATTAATAATAGTAGAGAACGGAATTATTACATAAGAACATGCTGATCAAGTGGTTTTGTTCTTGATTGCATGCAGATAATTGGTCTGTAAAAGGCAAACGTAGGAAGACAACGGGAACAGGCAGAATGCGATATTTGAAACATGTTTCTCGACGATTCAAGAATGGCTTCCGTGAAGGTAGGTTTCGATTGCCGTAGATGTCGCCGTGTGATTGTTTAATTAATAGATTTTCTAATCAAAACCGACTAAACCCACATTCTGCAGGTTCCATGACCAAGAAGAAGCCATCAGTAGCCTCTATGGATACCAGTTAACATCACGGAAGCCGCTACTAATATTTACTGTGATATACGATGGAATAAAATTTTACTTTTATTGGATTAAGCCCACTGTAGCAGCAATGGCTATTAATACTGATCCGTGCTTTATAGAATCAGCTAACTATCTGAGCACATTATCAATATCTTCCTCAAATAAATTCTCATCTGATGTCATACTCGCATATTAACTCCTTTTCAATCTTGCTTCTCTCTTCCTTTCCCATACCTGCCTAAAAACTTTCCTAATCTCTTCTTCACCCTCCCTGAAATTTTGCTTTCCTAACTCGACCAATAGCTCAACCTGTTTCGCATCATATGCAAAATTCCATGTCGAGCAGAATTCCTCAACTGATGGGTCAAATCCATCGCCGACTTTGGGATTAGGAGTGAGAGGGAAATAAATTACAGTTATGGGACGATTAGAAGGAGGTGGAGAAGAAGATTCTTCACCGACGAATACTGTGCAATGGCCAAGGCCGCTTTGCGAAAGTGAGCAGGAAATTTGGGGTGGACAACCGTCAGATTTCAGGGCAGAATCAATGTCGTATGAGAGAGACAAGGATTCCTGCGTTGCATCGTTCTTGTCGGAGGAGGATTCAACGGCAGCTTCGGTAGTGTTCCGTTGTTCAGGCGATTTGGGCCAGCCACAACCTACTGGCCATCCGGTTATTCCGTGTTTCTTAGCATAACCTAGACAAGCCTCGGTCAATAGATTGCCATTGGCATATTAAACATAAGACAATCTTAGTTAACTCACCAGCTGCTCTCTCAAAGTAAGGATGTGTCTGCAAGTCGTTACTGCTGTCGATAGCAATTATAATATCAACATCGCGGCCTTTGCGTAATAAAGGATAGAATGGAATATTGTTGTCGACTCCAGAGTCCTGCGAAAGTAATATTGATGCACGTAAATGTCTATGCACGTGCGTTATTATAATAGCTATTACCGTTTACATTACCATAAGACATATATTCTCTTTCTCCGCAAGAGACGATACCGCAGGCGGTAATTCAGTCATTTTGTATACAAAGTTTGGGAAACATGCAGGTGATATTGGATGAATGGTCGATATGTTTTTCTCGTACTAGATTATCGAGAGAAAAAAAAGGTCCATCGCATATGAAATAGGAAATTTGCCTACTGTCATAGCATAGCGTCATGGCCGGGTATTACCTCTTTAACCATCTTATCCAATGTTTCCGTGAGAAAACCAGCAGGCAGGCAAGCCCGAATTTCATTGTAATAATGAGCAAGAGTAGCACAAAAGGCACTTCCAAAGACACTATTAAACGAGAAATCGCAACAATTCAACATTTCACGTTAGCACACATTATTACGATACGTAGCGTAGTGGCTTTCGACTGCAGTATGACAATACCCTAATAGCAATCCCATGTTGTGTTCTGGTTTTCGTTCGACGTTCACACCACCTTCAAATCGTCTACCAAACGCCCAAGTTGGTATCCACGCTAATGATCGCATAAATAATTAGTACACTATATTAGTCGACTGAACTTTGTTAAACAAACCCACCTCCAATATCTTCACATCCAATTTCGTAAGGCGTAAATTCAAACCATTGGAATTCATCCTCTTTATTTTCGTCATCAGAATCTCCCTTCTTGTTCACCTCAGTATTAGTCTCTTCCTTCTCTTCCTCATAACTCATCTTGGCCTTTTCTTTTTCGCCTCCTCCCTCTGGTCGATCCTTATTCCCTTCTTCAGTTTCTTCTTTAATCTCATGCCTAACCACCGTATAAATTGGTAATGGAGCGCTACCATCATCTATCATCTCTTTCTGCCCGCTTAATTTATACCATCTCTCATTGACACCCTCCACATCTTCCGGGATCAATAATCTAGACGATAGAAAAGTCCCAAACACGTCTACTAAATTCATTGGAGAACCATCAATGTACTTTATGATCAAACCAGCAAGGATAATCTCTCTAGCGCACTTGTGAAAAATAACGTCAGCGAACGACGGGATATGCAGTGGGTGAACTTGTAGCCTTGATTTCAAGTGATTCAGGAGATTTGGAAGTGAGCAATGCGCAAGAGTGAAATCTTAAAAAAAAAAAAAGTAATTCAGTGAGAATACTTGGTAAAGAACGTAGACATAGGATGTTAAAAAGTTTCGATCACTTGCATTCCGCTAACGCCCAGCAACTTCCAGAGACGCCTGAAATACAATTTCATATTTCATAATCAATACGCATGTTTACTCTTGGGGGAGATTTATCGTGAATGATACTCGATGACTTCCCTGCAAAGAACATGGTACAGTCCAACACGCCCGACTCTTTAGCTGTCGTCATATAACCTAATAGAGGCAATATTTAATATATAGCTAACATCCATCATCAGACACTTGTTTGCGCAACACACCTGCTGTAGAAACCATAGCACGATACCCTCCACCACTACTGGCAATGCCTACTATTGGCAGATCATCCTCGTGTATTTCGTTCTCATCAACGCGAATAAACTGAGCAAACGTCTTTTTGATGTGAGCTTTACGTCTTTTGATAAATTCGATTTCATTTGAAGATAAACTATCGCCTAGTCTATAATAAAGTGAAACGTTAATGAAGAGTTGATCGCCTTTTAAGTTTGCCGTAACAAAACGACCACTAGAAGCTCTTCCATACTGCATCCTCACCTCACTCTCGCGTCCCACTCTAATTCGGGGTGCAAGTTGCGATTTTTTGCTTTTTTTCTAATTTCATCCGCTATACTGCCTTCCTCAAATTTAATTTCCTTATATACTCTCGTCACAGCCTCCTGCACTCCGTCTATCGATGGCACCGGTAGCTTCTTAACCTTTTTCCAAAGTTCATCCAACTTTTCATTCAAATTTTCGAATCCGATATCAACAGGAATCTTTGGAAGTGAGGAGGTAAAAAAGGATGTTTTCTCTTCTTTCTCGCTCACGACTACAGGCTTATCAGAAGACGTAGAATCACTTATGGAGAGTTTTTGTTTCCATTCTTCGAACTTCTGTGTTACCTGTGTAGTTTCTAAAGTTGGTAGGGGAGGAGTGGTGACAGAGAATGTTTTAATGTTTCCATCAGAAAGAACAAAGGTGTAAGTGCGGGTCACCCTGGAGTGGGTATTACTGTCAGTTACTACAGTTTGAGCGACATTAAGAAGGTAAGAACAATAAGGAAGATTTATTGTTGTGGTCGTTTCTTCAACTTGAGTGGATGTTCCTGTTGGTGGTGTCAACGTAGATCGAGATGACTCCGATGACTGAGATCGGGATTGATCATTCGCAGAATTAATGTCTTTATTATCTTCTTGAGAACCACCCTCTTCACTTTTCCGTCCATCTTCTTCATTTGTTTTCAACAATCCCAATATAGCCGATAACGTAAATCTACTTAACGAAACATCTTTCACAAAGCAAACGCACATAATAAATAAAGGATTCAAGAGATAGGGTGAACAACAACACGTCACTATTACGTAGCAATTGATTCTTCGGGTTTAACAACCTTTTACACTATTAAAGATACGATCGTGGTGGTTCCGATTGAAATGGTAACGTCGTTGTGAGTACAGACGATTAACATAAAGTTTAAACAAGCCATGACTGTTAACATTTTTGTAAGTCTGTATAAAATTCTTAAACATGACTTTGATTTGTTAAACGAACAGGATGCAAAAAAAAAACAACCTTTAATTATTGCATTGTGACGCCTTTTATAAAGTCTACGCAAATATGTGACATATGCATCTCCCACTTTATGTGGCGTGTGTATTATTTTGTGTGGCGCGTACTTTCCATAATGTCCATTATACATGAAATTTAATAAAACAAGAACGAATTCTCTAGAATTAATCTACTTCCATCTGAGCAGGTTCACTTTCTTGCTGATTCGTCTCCGTTGTCTTTTCTTTTTGATCGTTATTATCGGGTTTGTCAGTCTGTTCTGAGCTTTCCTTATTTCCATTCTCCGCTGGAGTTTCAGGCGGAGTTGCAGTCTCTGTTTTAGGTGGAGCAGGCTGAAAATAAAGTACAATATTAGCTCTCGTATGATTAGTAACAAAGACTGAAATAAACTCTGTGTGAGGCTCACCTTGGGTTTGTTCAGGATCGGATTTGCAAATTGACTTAAGCTCTGTAAACACGGAGAGACGTTATTGTAAACCGCTGAGTAATTAAATCTAGTCTAAATAAGCAATGCTGTTTGTGGATACTTACGTCGCGCTCTTTGTAGATATCTCGCGCATACACAACGGGTGTCTTATGTGCAGGCGTGTTGTTCTGTAACGCAATCTTTTCATCTAGCCATTGCAAAGCTTGTGTGGCCCTGTCTACGACTTTCTTCTTCTCGTCTTCAGGAATATGTGCAAGCTTGTCGTCCGTATTTGTAGCATTGACAAGGTATGTCTCTATTGTATCACGTAACTGCTTCTCCGCCCTCGGTCGTTCTTCAGATTCACGGTATCTCTCAGAAATAGGTGATCCATATTTTTTCAAGTCTTCTAATTTTTGTACATATACAGATTTTGTAGCATCTTCGCCTTCATCATATAGCCAGTTCTCCGTTTCGTTAAGGAGATTAACGAATTTCTCTCTGTCAGCGGGGTCAACAAAACTCGAATAGCTAGACTCTACTTTCCCTCGGATATCGTATACGTACTCTTCGAGAGTATTCTTCTGTGTTTCCGTATCTATCACCAGTTTATCACTGGCGAGCATCTGGCCCTCTGACTCTCTATAATGACTAATCGTCTTTTTATCCAATCCAGCAGTGCTGGAGACAACAGGAAGGTCATTCTTCTTTACGAGTTTCTTCTTCTTGGGTTTAACGGGTTCCTCTGGTTTATCAGTGTCCATGGGTTGTGGTTCGTCAGGTTTAGGCTCTGTAGCACTTGCCCCTGGAGTTTCTCCAGCTTGCGGCTCTGATTTCTGTTCCGATTGCTGTGAGTTCGTTGTATCGGATGACGTTTCAGACTTTGCTTCGGAGTTATTCTCTGGTTTTGTCTCTGGTTTAGTCTCAGATTTCTTTTCAGCCTTCTGCTCAGTTTTAACCTCTTCCTTCTCCTCTTTAATTACCTCTTCCACCACATAAGCACCGTCAACTGACAGAATACCATGTAAATTGAGTCTAACTTTAACTTTCACCATACTCAGGTCTTTGTTAGCGGTCGGCTCGACTTTCTTGATCGAAAATCTACCAATCCATGGCCTGACATTTCCTGGCAACGATTCAGGTTCGGCATAAATGGCCTCGATATCAAAAGGTTGCTTACGGTAAAAAGTAAGTACTTTAGTTGACGGTACAACATTGTGCTTGGGGAATACCAATAACTCGGAGTCTTCATCTGGTATCTCGGGAATTTTCTCCCAGCGTACTTTTATAGGATATGCTGTGACGTCCTGTACAGCGAAGTCTCTGACTTTGAAGACAGGAGACTGTATAGCACACTGAAGAGCACATCCACGAGCAATAGCCTCATCCTGGTTAAGGGTAAAATTGAGATCTTTTCCAAAGAAGTTGGAGATTCTTTCCTTAACTGCGGGAATACGTGTAGAACCCCCGACGAGCTCAATAGAATGAATGTCAGCTTTAGTTAGACCAGAATCCTTCAATGCCTGCGCTAGTGGCGTTTCCATACGGTTAAGAAAAGCCCCAATCATATCTTCAAATTCTTGTCGTGTTAGGAAGGAACTAACATCCACATCGTTCATAATGGACTCTACATTCAGAGGTGCTTGTGGGTTAGCCGATAACACCTTTTTTAATTTCTCGCAAGCAGTTCTCAGACGGAACAGAGCTTTCGGATTCGATTTGACATCAATCTTATACTTTTCCTTGAACTGTTCAGCAAAATGACTAACTAAAATATTATCGAAATCTCTTCCACCGAAATGCCTGTCATATGCCGTGGCCTTCACTGTCAGCTGACCTTTTATAAATGACACGACTGCAACGCCGTAATCAGAATGACCGATATCAACAAACACAACATTACGAGGTTTACTTTCAGGTAAATCTCTTGTGATTCCGTAGCCTAATGCGGATGCAGTAGTGTCATTTAACAAGCGAAGGCAGTTCAGACCACAGATTTCAGCAGCCTCTAGAATGGCCCTGCGCTGAATGTCGGTGAAATAGTCCGGGACGGAGATAACAACATCGGAAACAGGTATTCTGAGCTCTCTTGAGGCAGTTTCCTTCAGTTTGTTGAAATACATGGCGACCAATTGAGTTGCACTGAAAACATGATCTTCGCCGAGATATTTTACCTACAATTGTCATAATATGGTTAAGTAAATCGGAATAATAAATAAACCAGCAACCACTGCGTTAGTCGTAGTGCCCATTTTTACCTTCACGCCTACTTGTCCATTAGCATCTACTAGTTCAGCATTGATGTGATGCTTTTCGATTTCTTGAATCTCCTTGTCTTGAAATGTACGACCAACAATGCGCTTTAGCGAACCAACTGTATTCTTGAAATTTGATATTTCCTGTGTCTTCGCAGCTTCTCCGATATATCTTTGTTTTGGGCCAAACGAGACTAAAGACCTATATTGCCAATACCCGATGAATGCATCAATTTTGACAGCAGAAATTCAATCAGAATGTCATTCGAAAAATTTTTACTTACGGTGTAGCTCTATTTGTCACCTCATTACAGACAACGTCGATACCACGGTTACGAGCAACAGCGATAACGGACTGCAAATTACCAAAGTCAAACCCTAGAGAAAGTGAAGTAATTATTGTCAGCAGCAGTGCCGTCGTTTATCTCACCCGCTCCCACAATACCAACCTACTACAGACATATTCAATTATTATGTAGTTCACGGACAAAGGAAAACGAGATTCGGTACTGCGGCAGTTATTATAATAATGCCTTTGAGCTTATTTTTGTGGATGTATTTGATCGTTTACTGACATTCGGGTTCCTATATATACTTGTTTACTTAATAACAAAGGTTTGTTTGACAGTGGGAGGTTCTAGTGGGTTCTACGATGTTCCTTTTGATATGACGTGAACGCGCAGTATGTAGTGCTACGCACGTGAAAGTATGGGTCGGGATAACATCAACAGTAAATATTACCTTAACGCCACCGCTTCACTGCTACTTTTATAGAATCTCTTAGATCATCTGTAGTTGACTTGGCCACAATAGCTGCTGAGGATGAGGAATCAGCGTTTTTCGGACCTTTTAGACTTCCACCCTCCTAATATTCAAGTTCCAAAGAAGGTCGCCTCTGAGTTCCAGGTTGAGGTCAATACGAAGGCCATGTGTAATCTTGACCAATTAGGATTACTATTATTTTTTTTACTTCTTTTCTTACTTCCTCGTGACTCTCCTTTAATGATTCATTAAATTTGTATTTAAAATATTGGACAAGTAATATCTTTGACACTCTTTTTTTACTGATGAGAGAATACTTTGTTAAGTGCTTCTGGCTTTTATAATTCAAGAAGGCAGTACGAGTATATTTAAAATGAGTTTCCTAATTTTAGACGAACCTAATCAGCAAAGGCAGAACAGCAACCAATTAGCTCAATTAGCTGCTTTAAATACGAAATGCTTGCATCTTTATGTTAGAGTCTGTCGGGATTTCAGAGAATGCCTCGCAGAAATAATTTTTGATGACGCGTAATTGATAAACTAATTATAAGTAGGATCCAACGTTCTATATTTATCGGGATAATAATTATCAATCGGATAACAGAAACAGCGAAGACTACACGCTTTATTAATTTGATGAGAATTTAAGGCCCAATTTATTGTAACCCGGAATTATCTAATCGCTCTCTCTTTGGCTGCGCATGACAATAAATGTTAATCTATTTTATCGCTGTTATGTATTACTACTTGCTAGATAAACGATTCGAATTTAATATTTATAACTTGCATTTTATAACGCGCCATAAATCATATTATTCGTGATGTCCAGCAAAAGAAACCTTTTCTTTGTAGGAATCGACTATCCATAGGACTGTAGAAAATACAGTATTAATAATCATTGTAAACGCAAACCATAAATACAACCCAATTTGTAATAGTCACATTGTATATTAATATTCACAGTTAAGAAACAGCATCATCGCAACATCATAGATTACTATGTCCTCATTTATCTTCAGAAGGATATCAACATTACGCCATAATTTTTGTTAATTCTTAAGTTGAATACGTAAGATGAATACGTAAGATATTATATCACAACTGATAATCGGCAATATGAAAGTGTTCTTTATTCTATGTCGCGATATTGACATCACATCCTGCCGTTGTCATCGCATTTCCTCTTCCAACTTTTTATACAGTTTTTTATGGTGTCTCCTGCGATGTCGCCTTCCATCGATAAAATAACTTATCCATCGAGTTATATAATCAAACAGGTACTTCTCCGCACACCATGATACTAGAAAATTAATAACAATTATCACCAATAAAACCCATCTAAATGATATTGGGAGGATCATCAACTCAAGAATAGCAATTGCAATATCGGTAGGATAGAGAAGGAGGGCAGTTGACATGAGCGTGAGGAGGATTATGCTTAAGATAAAGGGGGCTTAATATGTCAACAGAAAATTCAATCATTAGTTATTGGTTACGTATACATACACCTCGACATTTGACATTAGATTGTGAGAATAATTACCGTTTGTATTGATCGGTTTCCTGTATGGAGGACCCACACTAAACACAACTGCAATCAGAATATACTGGAAACAAGAGACCAAAAACAATGCTGTGTTCTCCCAGCACGTTATATCTCCTTCATCAGGATCAAAGTCTGGAGGAGTGTACCTATGAATTGATACAACTTGGTGAGGCCAAATGCGTCTCTAGCAATATAATCTGGTTGGCGAAAACAATGCGTCACGCACCATGGTTGTCGTCTAACGAGAAGGTAGACGAAAAATTGGAACCCAGACTGTATCAAAATTTGTCCAAGAAGAGATGTCATGACTTTTTTTGATACTAGATTTGCGGTTGGACGCTTAGGATGGATTTGTGGATATGGTTCGGTACGGCCCACTAAACAAGGATAACAAATATATGATTAACAAATCGTGTAGAGACTTGCAAGATGACAATAAAAAGTATGAAATGACGTACTTAAAACAGCTATTGGTAAGATAATCAGTAGATCGACATATAAAAACTAGAAAAATATGAACAAAGTTAGTTAATAAAATACTGATGCGCCAATCCAAAACAATTGTGTCATACCTGAAAGTCCCCAAGATTAGACGAAAATATATATAGCAAACTGACAGTCGTGAACTGTATGATACTGTAAAGAGCCATGTATTTAAAACAGCTAAAATTCGTCACGAGAGCAGCTCTACCCTCTCTATTAATTAACAGGTATAGTCGTGTTAGAATGTTGGACGTGTAATTGTCAAAGTAAATTCACATCAACTTACTTTATCACTTCAATCACACAGCCAATATTTGTGCTTTTACTTGTAAATGGCGCCGCCACAGACGCTTCTGCCTCTGACAGTGATAATCCAACGTCTGCAGCCTTCAGAGCGCCACAGTCATTGGCACCGTCTCCACAAAAGCCAACGCAGTAGCCTATTCCCTGTAATTTTTCTACAAGCTCGTGTTTCTCATCAGGAGACATTCTTGCATATATTTGTCCTTTGGTAAGAATCTGCAAAAATTAACAGTTGTTATTAAATTGTAAGCCAAATAATGATATATTGTCGTATGCGCATACGTATTGTGCAATGTATCTTATTACTTACGCGCAGAAATGTTTCATCGGCAGCATAATCGACCATCCACCTAAATGCATCACCAGTAACAGCAAGATTATAGTCATAAGGATCAAATGCCGAAGGATATGCAAAGGTACTATCTCGAATCGATGGTCGTTCGCTAGGTCTCATCTATCGAAAACAGTTCATAGTTAGATGGGTTATGTGTTATGATCAATGCATAGTACATTAGAATCATCACCTGAAGATCTCTCGTGTCTAATGTGTCGTCAGAGTTCTCTAAACTTTCCCACACAATCGTTGATTCTTGTATCAAAGCTGAGCCTTGGACAAATCTAGGCACATACACGCGCACATTCTTGTCAGTAAGCTTGCATTCGCGCGAGACGCTTATGGCAGTCAACACGTTATCGCCTATGAAAAGCACATACGTACATCAGTGTAAATAAAGGAGTCTAGCTGAAATTTCCACAAACGTATTAATATGTGCTTACCAGTACACATGATTTGACGAATTCTCGCGTTTCGTAGTGTCTCAATAATGGGCGTAGTTTCAGGTTTAAGTTTATTTTCGAATATGATAAAACCTAAAAACTGGAGATCCTGCTCGACCTGTTCCCTTTTATTTATGAATATAATTAGTCATTAGAGTATTCTGATCGTACAGGCATCATATCGTGTTATGATAAGTACCTTTTAATTTTCTGTGCTTTCATCCAATTGAAATTGTCAAAGCTTTTACTAGCACATGCTATCATACGAAAACCGTGACGTGTATAATAATAGAGCTGGCTATCATAATCTTCTGGTACTAAAGATACAATGTAGACGTTGAGTTTAATGAGAGCCCGAAGTAAATCTTAAACAGTTGTCTAATTGGAAATACGTAAACATACGTGTGTCCTTTCTGCAAATATCTCGCATGACTTCTGGAGCACCTTTGACATAGACTTCGATTGTCTTGCTTCCTAAGCGTTTTACCAAAACACTCATTCGTCTCAGAGAAGACATAAACTCAAAAGTACGGATAATGCCAAGTTCAACGAAAGGCGTTGACTGTAAGTCATAGATATGATGTCGTTGAGTAACCAGGTACATTTGGTACAAAACTCTGAACGTGAAGATACCTTTACCTTTCCATTCAGTCCATCAGCAGCCAATAGATCGGATAAATCAGACATTCTGCTGCCTGGAGACCTAACAACTGTTGGAACTATGTTGCCAGCTATTTCAGATAGCGAAGGACCTGCTGAGCCTGTTGGATACGAGCTTCCTTGTCCGGTCTCTTCTAATATCCAATGGGTAAATTCAAACATCTTCAGATCAAGTGGATCACCAATCAATTTGCCATTGACAAGTTTAAGAGAGTGGCAAGTTGTCATTGCGTAAAGTATTGACAAAGTCTTCAATGAGTTTGTTAGACCTTCACTATTTTGCAGCGTGTTTAATGTATCAGCACTCGTATGTAATTTTGAAAACCTAAATAGGGACATGTAGAATCCTTTAATGTCTATTCGGTTAAATGTTACAGTCGTCAGGTAATCCATACTTATTTGTTTCTGGTTCAATATACTTAACACCAAGGACATCTAAGCCATCTTCTGTAAGAGTTCCCGTTTTATCGAAACACATAACATTGATTTTCCCACCAATATTGACTCTAATAAGAAAAAAAGGCGTTAATAGGAGATGCCAATCAGACGTTTACACTATTCCGCCAGGAGATTTAAGTGACCTTAGAGGACTTATACAAAATATCCCTGCTTTATTCAATCTATGAATAGCAAAGCTAGTCCCGATACTCATTGTTGTCGGTAACGCAGGAGGTACTATGATTGTGATTAAATCCAACGCCCGCACAAGTACCTGCTCCATTTTCATACCCATACGAATAAAATTGTATGCGCTTATAAAAAAACCAATCACAGCTAAATAAAACAATTCGCTTTTATTAGATAAATTAAGTGGGTTAATCAAAAGAAAGATTGAAATTAATTCGTACATATGAAAGCCAATACTCCAATAAAACGAAAAGAGTCCCGGTAGAATTTAAACTTGTTTGGCTTTGGAAACAACATAGAACGAATTAATGCTCCTTTAGTTGTATTGAACCCTACGGTATAGAATAAATAACAATATATCTTAACCAAATATCAATCAACTGAAGCAAACTATATATAATACGAACCTACTCTCACGGCCATTGCTAAAGCCATCCCTTCGTCATCTTTCTGACTGTCACCATTGGCCGATCCACCGATGCTCTTGGCTTTTCGGACACGAACAAGTTTGGTGCCTGAGAACAAGAAGTGCTTGACGATTTCCGGGTCAACGTTGACTGTTGACAGATCCAGCATGTTTAATGCCTGGTCTGTGATGGGTAATTTCGATACAGGAATGGACTCGCCTATAAAAGCGTTATAAAAATATTATTTCTTGTTCGCATTATATTGGACTTGACAATTAATTACCGGTAAGCATGCTCTCATTGACTATGCAGGTGCCAGATAAAAGCACGGCATCACATGGATAAACGAGAAGATCCGGGTCAGATATCTCAAAGACGTCTCCAGGTACTAAATCCACTGACGAAATGCGTCTCCCTATCGGAACGTACGGATCCGGTCAGCTTGTTCATACAAAACGTTTAAACAAATTATCGGTCCACTTAAAGCAACATACTTACAGAAACCGTTACGACACACTCGTACTTCACATATAAATTTTGACATCTCTCGCAGCTTTCTCAGTGTCTACGAGATCAACTCCGATATCAGCATCATGCTATGCGTAAAAATTTTTCAATAGCGACTATATGCATCTACCTGCTTGGTTTCAATCAATGTAGACACGATGCTGAAGGCGGACATGATAAAAATACAAGTCGCATAATAATAATATTCCTCAAGACACCACAGAATTATCGAAAAAACTTGGAATATATAGAATGGATGTAACACCTGCAAAACAACATTCCAAATAATTAGATAGAAATTGGCTTGTCGTTAGATAATTCATACACCTCTGATGAAGCCCACCTCATTAACAAGTAGTGATAAAGTTGACTTTTCCTCTATATCAATCAAATTTTTGCCAAATATTATTTCACGTTCTCTTTGTGTTTCATGTGATATACCGGTTTTCAATTGTTTCGCCGATTCCCAAGATAAATCTTTCCAATAACTGTGTACAAACGCAAATAATTAGAAAAAAAAAAAATCTGTATTATCTAGTGTGTAGGTAGTGAAGAGATTTACCCATTCTGTAAAAACTTGCCAAGGCCAGGATGATAGATAAACCGAATGTAGTGATAGTCAAAATAATGTAGATAGCTTAATATAGTGTTTTTCGGATAATGAGCAAGATAAGCTGCATCGTTCGATTGTAACTGTTCGATCGGAAAGACTGACGACACGGTTCCATCAAAATATCTCCGTTGTATGTATTCTACAGAAACGTCGCCCCATTGATTCTACCATAGAAACCAAGTAAAATCACTTCATATAAATCTCATCAATCCGGCAGATCGACGCACGTAAGCGTATGAAGACGTTATTTTAATCTCACCTCAACAAGAAGCCATTCAGCCTTCTTCATCTCACATGCATTTCCTACACACCAAGCCCACAACCGTGGCATCCAACGCCCCAGAAGGTACAGTATTCCGCATGTCAATAGGTTCACACAATAGTAGACATAACGTCGAGAGTCATTAAAGCGATAGCCCACTAAAATGAGCTGAAGCAAACAGTTGTATGCAATATAAGGCTCGGGAAAGAAGAAAACTAGCCAATGGATCAGACTATCGACTGCTTACGTTTATATCATCTTCTTCTAAATAGACGTTCTGCGCCAATGGCGTAGTTGATGCGTTTTCTATCAAAATTTGGAGGATAAAGTCAAAAATATGGCAAACGAACTGGGTTAGAGCAATATCTAAGACACAATTTGAACCTTGGTTCGATATGCTTCTCTACAGCCAGAGGTCACTGTGGAAATCCATACCAAAGCCGTCTATCGCCATTCGTTCACGCCCATTTCCTAGGTTGTCTCCACGGTTGATCAGAGGGGTAGTGTCTCTCACTGATGCCTCGTCTGCGGTAGGGGACTGCAAGTTATTCTCTCGCGACTCCTCCTCGTCAGCAATTTCTATTGTCATTTGTCCATGTGCATTTATTTTTGAATAAGACATTTGAAAGGACAGGATAAATCGCGTTCTCAAACTAGTTATTATTTCTTTATTAGTATAGTATATATCACTCAGTAATGCCTCAACCCAATATTTTTAATTTACCAGAACTGTTGGAGGAAACTCTATATTATTTAGAAATAGAAGAATCAATTTCTCTATTTCACTCTATTTGTTTGTTAGTCTTTGGTAGATGCAGTGCGCCACTTTTATGGCGGCGAAATGTTGAGCTAAAAGGGAATGATTTACCATTACTATTACATTATAATTATAAAAAATCGAACGCGATTAGAAAGCTTCATGTGAGATAGAAAACCCGGTATGTGCTTCAAGCTTAACTTATCTTAAACTCACATGAGTTTTCACATCAAAGAATCAAAGGTATCGTAAACTCATCACAACGGTTCATAAATGGCATTTACACACCTATTAGTCTGTTACTGAAATTAAGACAAAGGTTTAATAAACGATCACGATCCACCTGCTTGATATACTTGTTTATTAACGTAAACAACATATTGCCCTTTCGTAGATATGGCTAAGTAAATAAAGATTGCATAATGATGGAATTTTGGAAGTCAAATGTCACGATGCTTTGGAAGACAAAAGATAGTCCATATTTTATAATTCGGTTTTATCTGCAAATAATATACAGTATACTAATACATGTAAGAATTGTAGAAATGATATGTTGGTGAAATAGGCATTTTATTGTTTGCATCGACATGCGAAAGCCACGAATCCGTATTCGCATCGAAAGCAATTTCGTTCGTGTCAAGACATTTTGATTAAGTTATATTATCGATTTCTCTTTAATAAAGAACTGCTGTTTTCTTAATGTCGAAAAAGATTTGCTTTTTGAATTGCGTACTAGCAAACAATATGATTGTTTATTTTGGGATGAGGATAGAAAATGGAATTCAATTTGCAAAATCATTGTTGTGACTCAAATTACATAATGATGTTATTTATTTACGTGTATTACAAACAAACATCCACGGAACACGTTTTTGCGGGGAAGCAGAAATAAACTTTAGTAATGATCGTCAACTTAGAAATACTATCAAATTCCCTAAACCCAATTTAGACAATTTCTTTGAATAACGGTAAACGATAATTTTTAATAGTCGGCGAAGCAAACTAAAATTTTATTCTTGAGAGAAAAAGAATCGTCGCCAGAGGGGAGGGAAGTGTTGTGGGTTGACTCAACAAAAAAATTTATATTAATTGAAATGGTAATGACAAGTTTAAGTTGTCTTCAATGCATTTGGTTATCGTAAGATACCTTATTTTACGAGAAGCTGCGGTACACGCATGGTGTCAAGGGAGCTGGGCAGGCTTACTTATGAGCAGTTGTATAAAAAGGTCGTAATTGATATAATATGGGAATGATGCACACAAATGACGAATGGATGCATCATTGGCAAAGCAATTCCGGCAAGTTTTTCTTACAATAATAATAACTGATAAACGCAAAACCGATAATACATATTAGTTATACCGTAGATCTCGCAAACCCGATAGAAAAGGTGAGGACAGCCACATCAGTTTTCCGAGGTTTGGTTGTATATTGGGGTGACATAATTTTATAGCAACTTTATTTTATTGAGTTTGACTGTGTACTGCTTGAGCCGTATCACTATTCTTGAATCAAATCAGGAGAAATGCCTAGATTATCACCTTGCAGGGCCAAAATGATGTCTTTATTGTCTTTTCGCCTTATAGTGATGTTCTTATAATAATATGCCAGACATTCAATCCTAAAATGTCAGGAATATTTAAATAGTGGTGAAATCAATGATCACCCACTGCTTACAAGGTATCTGTTGGAGACTTGCAAGCCAAAAGTTTAAAGTTGGGGAAATGACCTCTGTGTAACTTGTTTGAAAAATAGTTCAAGCCTTCCAGAGCATGAGGATATGTCTCCAAGACAGCCATTGAAATGCACACAAACTCATGTCCCTTGTTAATAAGGTATGTTTGGAGTATTTTGGAGAGTGTTGTTTTGCCTGAGGATGGTGGGCTGTGCAGGAGATTAATATTATTATTATACTTTTTTTTTTATCAATTTTCTCCAGCCGAGCATCAGAAATGAAGTTGAATTCATGGACATGGACATGTCAAAGCTATGATTTTTTTGGAATGGCTGCTGAGACAGGAACTAGAAGAGCAGAAAAATAACAATTAATGCTTATTGATCAATTATGAAAATGTAAATGTAAAAGTTACGACAGGATATAATGCATGAGTAAGAATGTAATAATGATGTTTGCATCAAAAAGAAAAGCATTATTGTGAAGGGAGCAGTAATGGGGCAGACTGCAACAAACATTAGCTAAACAGAAGGGTGTGGTGTATGAAGGTAATGCTAATCCAAGCCCTTAAAACTATAATCATAAAATGCGAGCCTAACTTACCAGGAGGCACTACAACATAAAATGCAGGATCACGCCTCACTAATTATACAAACGTTTCTGGGGCTCCGCATGCTGCATATGGTCCTCAGCATTATGTTCATCTCAAAAATCTTGTAGAGGGCTAACATTCCATCATCAATGCCCTTATTATTATATTGTTCACGGCTACTCACAATTTGTCGCTTAAGCGTGCCAACATTCTCATTTTGACTAATTGTAATTCGAAAGCATTGTAGGTAGGAACGCCGTTGAAAAGGCAGAAAACAGAAATTGAAGCTGGTTGGGTTTCACTAGTCATATATCTATCATTGCACGCTTGCTGGGTTGTACTGATAGCAGATGGGAATGGTACTTACGTGATTGAGTAGTGTAATATATTTTGTTATCGATAATAACTATCGCGAGGAACTTTTATTGTTACGTGTTTGCGAAAAAAAAAAGCAATATCTCATGATCACATGAATGGAAATGTCACTCTGTCATCAAACTCGCAGCGTTAGTAAATTTGTTAGTAAATTCTGAACTAGCCCCATAGGTATCCCTCAAATCTCAGTCATTTACTGGAGCTTGAGGAAAAATATATTTGATATGAGACAGTGCTTCACACATGGTAGATAAATTTACCATATGTTACAGTTGATTTAAATAAAAAAAAAAAATCATAAAGTTGTTTTTTTTATTAAGGACTTTTCTTTCGTAGAATCTGCTGATATGATAAATATGATGACATTATTGAAATTCTATCCGAGAGTAACGAGCACAGCAAAGTCAGTGACGCGACAAATTTATTATTGGAGATAAACTCAATTTCATCGATACGCGAATCCATTAAGCGAAAAACTTTGGGAGAACGATAGGTAAGTAATTGGGGAAGTGATGTTGGGTCGCAGGCAAAACGATACCCACGAAATAATTGTAATTACACATGGAATGGATTACAAAAAACGGTTTCTCGTGATTTGCGCGACATGTGGTTTTGTCATGGAATACATTGAAGGTTTGAAAAGAATATCCAATCAATTGCTTTGTTCGTATCATGTGACTTTTCTAAATGCATTTAGAAAAGTCTGATCGCATTATAATTAGGGTTGACATTTCACCTGACTGATATAGACAAGTTTCGATGTTTTGGCTATGCGTTCAGAGAGGTTGAGTTCTGAGATGGGATGAGAGGACCGAGTCGAGCACAGAGTTGACAGAATAAGAATTATTGTTATTATTATTGGGATGGGTAGATGAAGAAATACATTACGGTAAAGTTCATCTTGCTTTTAACAGTATGAACTACTATTGGTTGAATTGGGTTCCTATGCATTGGCAGTTACTGTATTGTTTGTGGGCGAATTGCATGGTGATACTACTTGTATTATTTTTACATGATATGCATCACAGCCTTTGTAAATTTACTACATTTGGAAAATTTAATGCAATAATTACATCTTTCTAATCCGCAGCTTGAAAATATCTGCACGACACAGACTGCGAGACAAGAAAGAGGACACTAGAATGGTAATTACAATAGGACAAAGACAAAGACTATATGGTAGAGCATGTTTCCTTTCCTTCAGTTTGAGGGAAAACCCCTACCGTAATTTATCCCCAGTCAATTCATAACTGTTCACACATTTTGGATATCCCTCGCAGCTTTCAGGTATCCAAAAACTCTAGTTATTGTTCACAATCAAATGATGATTGGTATTAACCCGCCTTGTCATTAAATCTTACTCTCGTAGCATAACATAATAATACGTTCTCAATCAACAATGACGTACAGTTGCATCAAACCTTGGCTAAGATTTGATTTGAGAAGGCTTTTCTGTAAGATTATCTTTGATAGGTATGATCTTGTACTGCGCAGGCTCAGTTTCATGTGAAGACCTTTAAGAACTAATGTAGAGCAATCAAACTTGCGAATATGACTCAGAGTTTCGGACTGTAGAACGAGTCTACTATCTGCTCTCTGTATTGCTTTTTTAACACTGTGTCTTATTAATATTTGTAAACGCGACATCTCTTCAATAAAAATATTTGCTAATTCCAACTGTTGAATTCGCTTTCCCACATAATTACAAATGTTAGTTATGATCTCGGTGCACATATAGTTATGGATTTTTAAGACTTTACTGTTACAGTGAATATTATGTCGCAACCCAGGTTTTCAGTGTAATTTTTGCGTCGCTCCTAAGAACAATTTAACGCAGCTACAAGTAACAAACAACAATAAATTAAATTATTTTGCGTAAATCCATGTCATTTTTAGTTTGGCAGAGGGCATATAAAAGATAGCCAAGTTTAATCGGCCATTAATGTGGTTTTGGTTTAACAAACGCGAGACCTAGTCTACATCATAGATTGCGCAAATGGGAATGTACTTTTAAAACTTTCAAGATTCTGAGTGAGTTATAAGTACATTGCAGAATCAATCTTTTTACTTACTTTGCTATGTGTCTGAGGATATCATAATTCCAAGCTTGACGAGAAATTATATAAGGTATTATCTTGCATTTCAATTAGGACTAGCAGTATTCCTTTACAAAACTATTCATTTTCTCTACAGCGTTGTAGTCTTTTGGTAAGTATATTTAGTATCAAGATCAATCTGTAGGTTTCCGACTTTATACGCTCGATCGTTTTTATCATGTTGTTGTTGTTCTGCTATAAAACATTAATTACATATTCAACCATTGAGAAACAGCTATTTTCGAGACAACATGTTATCCAAAAGATTCAGGCTCAGAAAGCCAACAGTAAAAATTGTCCAATTAAATCCAACCACACATATAGAACTCTAACAAGGTATTCTAGCTGACACGCCTTGAACAGTATTCCACAAGGCAGCATATTGGTTAGAACGGAAAGGGTTAAGTATCGGCCTCGAGTAAAATGGGTTGAACCCTGATTTTGCAAAAGACCGGATACTATTGAATAAAAATAAGGGTACCAACATCCTCCGGAGTCTTTATACCAAAATAGTAAAAAACCCGGGTTCTCGAGTCGGTACATTACTGACTAATACCTGTCGTATTCCAATCAACAGACACTACGCAAATTGGTTAATCATAGATATCATGAAACATTATCAGTCAGTTTAGTGCGTTGAACACACAGTCATAGCCACAGTAGTCACTAGACATTGTAAGAACATCGCGCATCCAGTAATATTAATATGACTAGAATGGTTTTTTTGCCAACAAAGAATAGTCTAACAGTATGTCAATAATTAGATCACAGCGCCTCATTATATGAATAATTATGCGACTGGTCGATAAAACAAGTAAATCTATCTTAGTTTCCATACGCTTATGGTCTCAAACAAGGGGTATTGCAGCATAGTAAACATTGACAACAATAGTCTGTGATTAATGCAATGGTATAATGATTTTTATGTTCACATGAATGCAAAAACAATAGCGAGACAATGCGCATAAAACGCTTTGTCCGCTTATATGAACAACAATGTGAAAATCAAACGAGAACAATAAAAAAGAAACAAACAAACGTTACCTTTTTCACACAAAGAATTAGCTAGATATAAAATATCTTTGCGAAAAAATCCATACAATAATGCGAAACAGATAGTTCAAACACTGAAAACCCTTTGTAATTGTTTAACGTTTGCTTCAGAGCGACATTTTGTACTAAAGAAATGTTGCATCTTTTAATGAGCAAAAAGTCGACTGACCGCACATGCTTGTGCGTATTATGACAAATGAACTTGTGCCATAGTATCTTCGTCATTGTTTCTTTGTTCTCTTGTATGCGGCATATTATTTTTTTTTTTTCTGTGTTTACAATCTGCATGTTTGTATGCGTTGGGAAGGCTGTTGGCGTTGCCTGACTCTCGGATTAGTGATATGTCCAGCACCGTGGAGTTCTTTGTGATTTGTATATGCAGGGTGGCAAACACGCGACACAATCTCTTGCCAATAGGTGTTAGCATCGCAATATCAATCATGAGATTGTCGTTTGGGCCGCTTAGCCACGGGTGGATCTATTAATACAGAAGGTTCCAGAATGGACGCAAATTATTATGCGAAGCTGTACAGTTGGCGTGCATCTCATATTTCATCGAGGCTGAACCTGTGAATGAAAAAATTTCACGAGTCTAAGCAATGTAACAAAATAATGCAGCAAGTAAAGCTTTTTTTTTCCCCTTCTTACTCTTTACCGTCCAATGGTATGCTTGAAAATTTAAAGTTCTTGAGGACATGAATGTGCCCTCTCGCATTTCTTAATCTTATGAAATAGACATAATCGTGTCATTTTACATTATTAATTTCGCATCTTTCCGCCGCGTGGTGTAACAAGAAAGGGTAATCTTTTTTTTTTTTTTGACACTTGCGAAATTGCACGGGACCATTGAGACTTACTGAGATCGAATAGCAAGTTTTTATTTACAAATATTCTTTCATCAGCAATCTGAAAAGAACAGATAAACATCGACGAGACTAAAAGGGTTGCTATGTACGTTGATTGGGAGGAAAAGGGGGTGTTTATGTACTATTTTAGGGGATATTTTAAAGGCAAATATATGTACGAGAAAAAGTCTTTAAACATGAGTTGATATGTACAGACAATGGGTGTGAGGAAATCTAACTAGTATAATAAGTTCGACTGGTCACATTATTAGAGAGGCATTTCCAAACAAATCTATTGCGAGTAATGCTTTGGATGTGAATCCTCCCCCCGAACCCACATAAATATTAAACTATTAGTTTAAAATAATATAAACAGGACAACTAGATCACACAAGGCATGCATTATAACGAGAAAAACTCTCTGAATGTACAAAAGTCATCAACACCGTATCCATTCGTTCTGATGTACTCTTTCTTGTGTCCATCCCTCGTCCAATCCCATACAACGACGTCCATTAGGACTACCCGGGCCACTTAGACAATCATCGTCCTCTTCCTCTTCGTAACCAGATTTAATCGATGCAGACCGTTTACGATATGGGCTAGTTGCAGCTTGCATTGCTGATGGAGAAGACAAGAGTATCCTGCGAGAACTCGATCCAAATCCACCAATAGACACTTCGGAAGTTGGTGGCGGTGTTGGAGAAGATGTCAACGAACGCTTTGGGCTCGGACCGACTCCAAAGCCCGATATCAGAACAGATGACTCGGAGAAAGAGCCCGCTTCGGATTCGTCGTCCGCACCCCATTTGCGGGATAGATATCGACGTTCGGTTTCTTCTATTTCCTGTTGTAGTGCGCGAAGCTCATCTGACAAGGACGAAAAGTGGGATTTGAAGCGATCGTAATCTGCTTGAGCGTCGTATTTGGCTGAATTAATGTCATCGTGTAGTTCGTCGCATTTCGTAAGTCCGTCTTCCTTTTCTTCTTCCTCTTCATCATTGCTATCATAAGAAAGTCCGTAGCCCTCTTTATCATCGAGCGTTGACTCTTCTTCGTCTAACTGAATGTCGAACTCCTCGTAACGTTGCGAGTTCTTTCGTGAGTATGAACGCTTTGTGTAACTAGAGAGTCCGTCATCCCACGAAGGGAACTTGAATACTGGTTCTGCATAAGTTTCGTCGTCTGTGCCAAATTTTGGATAATTATAGCGGGAGAAGTTTGGGTAAAAGTACGGTGTGTTTGTTGCAGTTTCTTTCTTTGGTTGTTTTTGTACCATTTTTCCTTGTTGAAAAATTGTCAGTTCGCTAATGTATAAAGTGTTTATTATTGTTTCTGTCCTGCTATTGCTGTTGCTATTGCTGTTGTTATTGTTGCTGCAAGTTGCGCAAAGTTGTTATTTATAATTTGTCGCTTGAAGCTTGCCGCTTGTCAAAGAGATGGGTAATACTGCCAGGAGTATATATATATGTATATGCCGAGTTACAAATTAACAGTTGCAGAGGTTGAATTTTCTTTGACTTAATATTGTTTGAGTTTTCGATGGGCGCCCAATACCAAATATGTTGTAGATAATATGCAAGCGTAAATCAGTTGCAAAAAGAGTATGTCAAAAAAATTTTTTAATGTACGAACAGAACGCAGGAGCGAAAATTTTTCAATAGGATGGGTTTCGAGGAAATCCGGTCTTAATATGTGTTCCATCGCTCGTAAAAATTTTTTATACGGGTCTACTGTAAAGCTGCAAGACGAAGATTGAGGGTGTGTGTTTAGAGAAGGTTTTGGGGGGGTAGTCACGGATGTAGACATCCCTTATCGTTTCCACCCGAGAAGTGGATGCTGCAACAATGTTACTAGTCTAAGCTGTTCTGGTGTGACAGTGAATCGGGTCCTCATTTTCATCATTTCCATCTACCTAATAGTGCACGTATGTCATGCTTGGCTACCGTTTTGAGAATGTGTGTGAGAAGTGATTGAATTGCTCTGATTAGAATGTGATGTAACGGTGATTGGTCGATCACATTCTGTCTAAATCGCAATCTCGCAACGAGCGAGAGAGATGCAAGAGAGAGATGCAAGAGAGAGAGATAGATGTCTTTGTATACGGACGTTCATTCTCTCATTGACAGTACACAGAACAAAGATAGTGCAGTCTTATGCTTACTATCGTCCATATCGGACAGGTCGTTTACCGTTATCGGTGTTGGTTTAGTCATCAGATGGTGTAATCTGTGCAGCTATTCATATGTTTGTGCTTTAAAACCAATCCTCTATTTGTTGAATCGGGCTGCACTTTTTGACACCTTTTTTCGCCAGTATATTTGTATTGCGAAATAAGGATAATGTTCTTTGTACCCAAGTAGCATAAACCTTCTGCTATCGATAACCTTGTATTCCGGTGAGTGTAACCGAGAACTTGGTGATACACTGATGGTATACAGATGGTATACAGTGGGGGTTTCATTTCGGAAATGGGAGATTGACGATAACCTGGAATGAAGAGCAAATTAACCTTGAGAGCATTTTCTCGTTGATTATTGATCGCTTGGTTTTTGTTGAAAGTTGGTAGGTGTTAATTACAAGTTTTATTTTATTTTATTTTATTCTTTTTTGAATCTCTCTTTCCATTTCAGCGACACGACCCCCCATTTTTGATGGATCATCGTTCATATGTCATTACAAAAAAGTTTGTCATTAAACAATTTATTTTAATGCTCTCCACTATCGATAATGGCCAAGAAGCACCAATCATCGTTTGAGGATGCTACAATGGAAATCGGCTTACCGTTAATGGTTATCAAGATTACCCATAGTTATTTATAGTCTATTATGATTACCTCGTTTATTGGACAAGACGTGTGTATATTGCATCATAATATAGATTCGAGGGGACTATACGGACAGGGTTCTTTTGTCACTATCAAAAACGTGGTAGAAAAGAATGACCGTGTAGATATATTGATACGATGCTCAGTGCCTTGTTGATGAAATGAGGCTTCGACTGCTGCTGTTCACTTGCCAGTTGTCATTTAAAGTTGGATGTGTATGTGTGAGAGTAACATAAACAAACGAAAATGTGACCATATCAATCGGTATATCTGTGCGAGAGTGCTTAATAATGTAAGGTACACAAATATATTAATACACATATTTATAAATAACAAGATTCAGGGAAATGAAATTGGGGTTGTTAATATCTTTCGTTCGATAGTAAATTTAGTCAGGCTTGTTCTATTATAGTTATACACTTTTGTCTTATCACAAGTACTTATCCCTTTCTTCGTATGATTACATGAGCTATTGCTGTATTCGGTGTCTGTATTATGTTAGTCAGTGTACCGTATGCATACTGATTACAACATCTTGGATTTTTTTTCATCCCAAATGGGAAATGATCGATAATACCGACTTTGGTGGGAATATCGATATGGGAGTTTGTCAGATACTGGTTCGATATAATTGTAGTTATCAATGGCGATCATTGGTCACATTGTCATCTGCACAACAGTCAGATAGATGCCCCCCGATAAATCAGAACTGAAGAATAATGTTAATGTATGTCATAATGCTATAAACAGTAGTATAACGGTTACTGTGCGACCTGTAAAATGACGTAGCAAAGGGTCAATGGTATAACAATAGATCACAAGATAAATCACAAGTCGTAGTTAAAAGTCACAGTAATAGCATATAGAATCGAAATATATTCATGTTGGTTTATAATAATTAAAAATAGAGTAAGAATGTCACTATTATTATTATGTACATATCAACAACTGTTAACCAATTAGTATATTTGATTTCTCCCCCTAAGAATATTACTATTATATGCATTAGCAGATATCAATAACTGTTAACCAATTAGTATATTTGATTCTCCAACTTTATTACTCCATTTATCGTCCACATATGCAGGGCATCTGCTTCAGTCGACCAGTCAGTGCCCCCACGCCTTGCCTTGCCAGTATCAAGTTGGATGAACATCCATCATATCAGTCGGCATAATATATGCAATATATGCAGCAATCATTACAGTGCAACAAAGTTAGACAAAGTAAACGTAACGCCACAGCAGGGCACGTTCATCTGTAATTCTATTTTTATCCTTACTCGTCAAAGCCTCGATATGAGGGTTAAAAGTTCGCCCCTTTGATCAGGACTTTTACGTCACTCGGCAAGCGTTTTCTATTTTAAGTTCAGCAGATGACTGCTTTCTTTTCTGAAATTCTTTTACTAATTCCCAAAAACTAATGTGTAAAACCCTCTTCTTTTCATCTATTCGATTTGCTACTCGATCTCAATTTTCGATCAACGTTTGCAATAAAAGTTTTACAAGATCGTGATCATCGCAAACATCATTTGTGCCACTATGTCGTTGTCATTTCCCTTAAAGTTCTCGATTCTCTAGTAAACATTTGCCTTTCTTCCGACAAAGCAATTGCAGCATCCATAAATGTGTAGAGTTGTCTCAATAATTCTTTGGATCATTCATCGTATTTTCTTAAAAAGCGTAAGCTATCGTACAAACATGAAGATTATGACGTATTTAAATAAGAAATCAATAGCTTTATTTGTAAATATTAAATATAGCTATTAGTGGAAATGAGAAGCAAAACACAAAAACAAAAAATGTTCGGAAAATCCAAAAATGATTATGAAAAGATTGTACATTGCGTATCAATTCATTTGAACATCAAAAATCTTGTTATCCCCATTAATACTAGTCACTAATCAATTTCGGTAAAATGGCCATTGACGCTCCGAGTACGTATCGAGCAATCGGATGTTGATATTACCAAGAGCAATAACACGTGTGTGTGTGTAAATAATTCTATTGAAGGCAATAAGTTCAACTATAAATGTTTATAGTAAGATATGCTGTTTATCTAACTAAAAATTGTATGAGTTTGCTAAACGCGCGATTATAAATCTCGTTATATGTTTCACAAACAAGAGCTCAATCGCACAGAAAGTATAACTCAATTATAAGTTTAATATTTTTATCTTAGCAAATGGGGTTATAGATAGCTGCCACTTAGAATTGACTATCATTTAGAGTAAGTTTTGATAATATCCTGGTCAAAATTTGTAGTTTAATTAATACGAAATCTTAGTCATCCTAAAGTTAGAAAAGCTACACGTGTGGTTAGTCAAAATCGCAACTAATATCAAATAACCTGAATATTGATTATAATCTGCTCTGCAAGATTGATATTAATTGCATCCTGAAAATCAGGTAAGTAAAGTGAAGCAATTGCATTGCAATAATTGCTAAACAAAGCTTTAAATAATAGTCAATACGTGAAAGTAATTTATTTTAATGTACAGCTTATATAAATTGTTAAGTAAGTACAATAAACGTCATTTGATCTTTGCATGCCAAAGCACAAAATTGAATAACTTTTAACTAAAACTACACTTACTGAAGTAATTATGGCACCAGCATATAGATCGATATACGTGGTTAAGAACAAAGACTTTCTCGGGTCAGCCAGCCAGCTAAGAAATAACAAAATATACCATAAAAAAATAAACAGATGCTTTGACGGTAAGAGTTGAAGCTCAAGAATTAATTACTCGAGGTTAAAACAGTCAATGCCAGCCAACCTAAAAAACAACCGACTCTCAGCCTAAACTTGATTGCTTAGTAAAGAGCCAAAGACAGATACTGGACCAGATACTAAACAAGAAATTTTTAAGCCAGCCACTTAGATTACGAGATTTTTTCCCCAGTCAGCAGGTTTGCTTGCTTACTGTAGCTGCGGCCAATATTCTTGCTACTTGCTAGTCTTGAAAAATATTATGTGAATTTTCTTACTAGTATTCATATTAGCCATTGTCTCTAGTTGCATGGCTTTTAAAATGTTTGCCATTAAAATTTTCTTATTCTAGCCAACAGGATAAAAAAGATCAATCTACAATGGTCGTCATAAATATCCTGAATTTAATCTCACAAACAAAAAAATTTATTTTCATTATTTATGTATGCTTAAATTTCGTACATATATTGCCAAATACAGTTACTAACTATGTACAAAATTTCAACAATATATCTTTTTTCCCTCCCGCTCAATTACCTCCGAAACACGAACTTTCGTACTATTCGCTAACCCATAAGTATCCTACCCTTCTAATTCGGGACAGGAGTGAGTAGACGCTTTGAAAATTTCTCTACATATAGTGTATCAGAAACCCTAATAGCCTGTAAATTTTTAGCTTAATTGGATGTCTAGAAAAATTTTCAAATACCAAATGTTTTTACCTCAAGATAAATCATGT